TATTAGTGTGCGGTGGTCAAATGAAGATTACCGATCATTGCTTTACAAAATCTTGCAAAGAAAATATACCCGATGTTGGTTTGACTGCCTTCATTGAACCAAAATGTCTCAGGGGTTATTACGAAAAAGATAAGGCCTCGGACATATATAGTTTAGGCGTTATACTATGGGAGATATCAAGTTGTAAACCTCCATTCAACAGCATATTGATTTTCAAAGTAAGCGCTGCCATTAATCAAAAGAAAAGGGAGGTACCAATTATGGGAACTCCACCTGACTATCAAAGGATATACGAACTCTCTTGGAGTGATGAACCAGAAATACGACCATCCATTGCATATGTACATAAAGAACTTGCGAGAATGCTTGAGGAACGAAGGGTCGTTGATTCAACTGTTACCCAAAATAGACCTACTTCTGAGCATCCTAGATCAATAGATTTACAAGAGAAGGTACAAACTATTCACCAACGAAACAGTGATCCAATTAGTTCAAACAAATCGAATGAATTGGAGTGCCCTCGAATTTATCAAAATAGTACAAGCTCTCCTATCCCCGGTGATTATTCAGCTAACCAAAATTTGAGATACCCTAGCCATGAAGTTTCACCGTCTATGAATCGAGACAGCCGAGGAAATATACTTACTGAGAAACCTCCCGATATCTCTTCAAGACCAAAATACGAAAAAACACAATTCCAAAATTTCGATCAGAACCAACTTCCTCCCACGTTAATATATCCACAAAATCCATTGGCATTTCCACATTCACAAAATTCATCAGCATTACCACATCCACAAAATTCATCGGCATTACCACATCCACAAAATTCACAAAATTCATCGGCATTTCCACATTCGCAGAATCTAATAAGCCCTACGACTCCTGCATCTAATAACCCACCTCTTGCCTTTCCTACCTCAATTCCTCTTTATCCACCAATCGGTTATATGAACAATTCTCCATTCAACAGATTTCCGGAAAACTCGACACCTCTTCAGTTTAATCAGTTTAATCCACTACAAGTAAATCCCAGATATCCTGGATATCCTCAGGAAAACTTGACACCTTTAATGATTAATCCATTACAACAAGTGAATCAATATCCATCACCAACCGATTATCCACTGATGAATCGACCTCCATCAAATGGTTATCCTCCACAAATGAACCAACCCCCACAATCGAATGGTTATCCTCCACAAATGAACCAACCCCCACAATCACACTCAAACGGTTATCCTCCACAAATGAACCAACCCCCACAATTAAACGGTTTTCCACAAATGAATCAACCACCACAATCAAACGGTTTTCCACAAATGAACCAATCCCCACAATTAAACGGTTTTCCACAAATGAACCAATCCCCACAATCAAATGATTTTCGTTCACAAATGAATCAATCTCCTCAACCAAACGGTTTCCCTCTGCAAACGAGTCAACTTCCTCAACCAAACAATTTCCCTCCGCAAATGGGTCAAGTATCACAACCATACGGTTTTCCTCAGGCAAATCAACAATCAAGCACACGTTTTCCACAAACGAATCAATCTCCACAATCAACTAGTATCCCTCCATTAATGAAACCCCCACAACAAAACGATTTTCCTCCTCAAATAAATCAACCTCCACAACCCAACGGCTACTCTCCAGAGAATTCGTCCCTTTTTATACCAGTTGATCCCGTAAGTAGATATTTAACATATGTGTCCTTTTTTTTAATCTTATATTTTTACATATTTATCCTATTATGATTCAAGGTTATACAAAAGGAGGCACGATGTAAAAAAGCGCTCGCAGAATATTCCAAGTTGTATAGGAATGAGACGGGTTATGTTGAACCTACCGAATGTCATGCTGGATATCACGTCAGTGTTGGAGATACGGAAGGCTTGGTAGACCATCTCGAGCTTGGTGCTAAAGTAGATGATACGTACCAGTTCTTAAATATTACAGAATCTCTTGTGGTCATCACGGTTAGATATTGTGGTATAGAGTTTATGCATAAGATACTCTTTAGACTTAAACAATATGATGCAGACTTTTCCGTGGTCTCCAGTGGTTCAAACAAGACGGCGCTTCATCATTTGTTTGAAAATAATTCTATCTACAAAAAGATCAACGAGTCCGTAAAAGAGAATTATAAAAAAGCTATCAGTTTCCTTGTAGAAAATGGTTGTAACATCGATGCTTTAGATAGCGAAGGAAAAACAATCCTATCATACTATCTTGAGCAAAGTAATCCCACCTTACAAAGAAAATACGAAGCAATTATCTCGATATTGTTGAGAAACGGAGCCAACCCAAATATTAGCGTCCATATAAGGTCAATTCCGGAGTTTATAGCGCCCAATTCTTTATTTATGGCGGTCAAATATAATTGGTCAAAAAGCATATTTGATCTATTATGTCTGTATGGTGTTAATTCGGAAGAAAGAGATAATAGTGGATACAGCATTCTGGTATTAACAATGAATGTGAATCAAATAGATAGGCTTGACAAAGTTAAATGGGTATTGGAGAATGTTTATGCAGCAAGCGAAATGAAAGACTTAGAAATGGCTATGAAAATGGTGAAGCATAGTTCTAAAGAGTACGATCTTCTGAAGATGTATACCAAAAAAGAAAGTGCAATTCAGAGAAAACAAATCATCGATGCGAATAAAAGAATCAAGGTTAGAAGTCAGGAGGAAAGAAGGTGACCTCTTGATATTTTATTTAGCTCTAGATATTCTACCATATACATAAGTTTATTATTAATTACTTTGAAATATTGTACGCATAAGTTCACGTGTTTGACACGTTATGATAGCATATATAACTTAATTATAATATCAAATTGTGTTTGCTTAATTGCTATAAAAGCGATATGTCACGTGTTCCTTATGATTTTTAACACGGCAAAATTTTGCGCGTGTATCGTAATACTCGAACGTCATCATATCTAATGAATAAGAGAAAAAGAAAAAAATTTTTTATTAATAAAATCAAGAGACGTGTGCATAAATTCAAAGGTACCAAAAAATTTATACCCTAATGATCCATAAAAAATAAATTCTATGATCTGTTATTCATAAGCCACTGGACTGGTATTCGCGATATTTTTTAGCTCTTCAGTCTTCGAGACACTGGACGTTGAAGCGATAGAATTGTTTACAGTATCTTGATTAGTTTTCATACTCCTAAGAATGGATCTTATAGCTTCAAAGTGCCGTGTTCTCAAATTTAATTCTATCATAACGGCAAAGGCAATCCTTGAACCATAAATGTTCATCCATAGGATTGCATACATATTTTGAAAGTTTTTAAAACGTTTAGTTATTCTTAATAATCGAACAAATGTTGACTTGACTTAGCATGTCTCGATACAAGCGAAAGAATTGTATCAAAAATGTCGACCACGTGGATATAATCTTAAAAGTCCAGTGTATAGATGTACAAAACAGAAATGTTTGAAAGTTTGCGAAAAGAAAGTAACAAGAAAAAAGGTTAAATAAAAGTTTGAACTTTGAAAAAAAAACTTATATAACCAATAAACAAGTCGGATAAGCCACAACGCGTGACGTAATTGTTTTGTATAAATAAAAATTTCGGATTTTAATAGTGTAAAATCACCAAAATTGGTTTAAAACTTACTGCGATATAAAAATTATTATTACTATTATTTAATAGAAAAATTTCTTTAGGCAAATTCAAAAAAAACTTTATGATATGTATATTTATATTATTTTTAAGTATATTATATATTTAATATAATAATCAAAGTTTTATTGATTTTATTTTTTTTAAAAAAAAACAAATTATAAAATATTTCAAAATATTAAAAATAATCGTAATAAAAGTAATTAGAGCTGGTTATATATTTTGGTTTTAACAAAATAATTAATATAATTTTAAAATTTTAGAATCAAAAGCGTTTATTAATATTACAATTATTAATATAATAATTTTTATAATAATTTTTATATACTGTAATAAGTATATAAACATTTGATTAAAAATATAATACCAAAAATCTGTAACAATAAATTACAAGATTAAATAAACATAATACAATAAATAATTGTTTAATTACAAGAAATATATATATATATTAAACGAATATAAAATTATAATTATTTTGATATAAATATTCTAAATAAATTTTCAAGTAAAAATTTATATTGATTTATTCAAATTTAACTGTTTTTTATTTAATTTTTAAAAAATTTTATTGACTATAAAAATCATTCAAATCAAATAAATTTAATATAAAAAAAAACAATTACTATTTTATAATAAATTTTTTTAAAGAATTTTAACTAAACAAGAAAAAAAAATCGTAAGGTTGATTTTTTTTTTATTATTGTAAAAAAAAAAAATCTTTTCTAATTTAAAATTTATAAATTTTAATAATAGGTTTAAATAAAAAATCAGTATTAAGTATGTGAATAAAAGATTAATTTCTCTTTTGTAAAAATAAAAGATTGTCTTTGGCAAAATTAACATAACATTTCTATTTGAATTTCAAGTTCTGTTATACTGTATATGGATTAAATTTTAAGAATTTAAATATAAAAATTAAAGTTAGATAAGAATAAAATTCTTGCTTACATATGTAAGTATAAAAGTTTTTTCAACAAAAATCAAAATCAATCTGTGTTTTCCAATTTTCTTTTCATAAAGTATTTTCTTGAACCATCCTTTGAAACATTCACTACTCAATTATTTATCATAATATAATATACAAAATTAATTGAAATAATAAAATTTCGAACCTTAATTTTTAACCATGCATATGGATATATGAAAGCAAAGTTAGTAGCTGAGTGAGAATTGCAGGCTACATTTTTATATTTGATCACCTTGTGTATAATCAATCACTCTTATATAATTAGCTAACAAGTGGTATACAGTATCACTAAACCCTTTTTTTATAATGCGGCTTCCAACTTTATTTTCACGATGGAGCGTTTTCTTGAGATGTGTGTATCAAATTTGCTTTTGTATTTTCTTTTAGGATGTAAATCTTGTCTATTATTTATTTATTATTTAAGGCTTGTATGGGCCCAACTCTCAATTACCCAACTATCAATTGCCTCCAGAGCTTGATCGTTTTTCAGGAAAAAAGTGGAGCGAAATTTTAGGTAATGATATTGATGCATAAGAACTTAATATTACCGTTATTTTAGCTTATATTCTTTATGCTCTCACACTTTAGCCCGCACCGCTCCAAAAGACTTACAAAAAGAAGCGCAAAAGTATGTCATCTACAAAGATTGGGATCTTTATTTAAGTTTACGAGACAAGTGAATGTAGCAACAGAGAACTAAAAAAAATATTCGACAAATGGCCCCCACAATGACAATGAACCAAATTGGCTAGAGCTGGACGATTTTATTAAATATCATGATTTTATAATGAAGAGTATGAGTCAACAACAGCATATTGTTGATATTGGTCTATTGGAATCCGCTTTCATAGACCAAAGTTTATGTTTTTTTATGAGAAAGCATCACTTTAGCCTTGGGGAGAGCATCATTAAGAACCATCCATTTTTGGATGGGAATAAGAGGGCCGGTCAGTAAAACTTTACAAATGAAATCCTGCATGTATCTCCTCAACTACATATACTGTATTACTTATAATAAACCTAAGGGTAAATATTTGCTTTTGAATTAATCGTAACAATTGTATTAATTTATATGTTTGAGATTGAATGAAATTGAGGAAAGGACGGACGAATCTGTCCATGTAATGACAATCAACGCGTTTCCTTCAGTTTTAGCATTTACATCTATGATGTAAATTAAAAAAACGAAATGGTACTGCACACGGGCCACTTGTTATCTGATTCATATAATTCCTAAAATTCCGAAATAAATATATACGGATCCTCATAATACCAAACATATCTTAGAACGATCAAATCACGCATTAAAGTCTTTCTTATTTTGGCGGAAGGATTTTACATATTGCTCATGTTGCTTACCTTGTACCTCTATAGCAAATCCATACTGCGGATAGTAGATATCAAGTTCTAATCCTCGAAGATACTCTGGTGCCTTCAAGAAATCTGGTTTGCGAATTTCAGAGGGTGAACCAAGAATTTTTGTTATGTTTATTTAAGCAATATGGGTACCATGATCTAGCCATTAAACTTGCAAACCATTCATGACCCTTAATATGCATTCACTGCATCGGAACGCAGATTTTTAGAAAGACAGACCTCTACTACGTGCGATTTCTTTTTAAAAATTCTCGCCATTTTTCCGGTCCCGCAAATTTTACGTGAATTTGATTAATTTCGGTATTTTGTACAATAAAAAGATTTTTGAATGAATATGTTTTCTATATAAAGTAATATCGAACACTCAATTCAAATCAATTTATTAAAAGAATTAAATTCGAGACTTATAGCTGAGATTTCTGAACTTAGAAAGGAGAACGCTGAGGTCAAGGCCGAGAATACAAAATTGAAACAAGATAAAGAAGAAATCAAGGCCAAGCTTGTAAAACTAGAGCAGGACAGAAAAGTCGATCCTTATTACTAAATGATAATACGATGTTTCATTAATTAAGGAACAGAGCATGCAAGATAAAAACATGGAATATCACTGATACACAAAATGTATTTACCTGATCGGACAGTCTCGCAATGCAAGGATACCTCGATAATAATGCTTCAAATTCCGATGTACAGTACCGGTGGAAAAAACTGACAATTTTTTTTTTTAGAAATTTTCGTCAATTGTTCCATTTTTTCTGTTGCACCATTACCAAATACTGTATAGACCGTCTCTACATAATGGATACACAAAATGATTAGCGGCTTAGCTATCACAAGTATCACATATGATCACAATTGCCGAGAGACGGCAGTTGATTAAGACACTTTGGAAGAGCAGAATTCATAAAGTCACGGCTCTTCAAAAAACAACCGGGTACTTATCAAAAACACTATATAGATGGGCCAAACAACTCAAAGAAACCAATGATTTGAAGCAAAAGTGCTGTCCTGGCTGTTCAAGTCATCTCTTCCCTGCACAAAGATGTTACCTCGATCAAATTGCAAAATCATGAAGGAGTGCCACAAGTGTCAAGCTAACCGAAATCTTAAAAAAACTTACCTGGGTCTTAATATTGCATCCAAAACAATTAAAAAGAACCTTCAGGGTTTGGATACAAAGTTTGTGTCTCAAGATCTATTTCTTTTCTTATCGAAGCTGCCAAGAAGTGTTGCATTGCTTGGGCAGAAGCCCATCTGAGAAAACATTAGAATAGGATTATTTTTTTGGATGAAACAATGTTTTAAATGTTTTGTAATACAACGAAAGTTCAGTATAAAAAAGAAGAAATAAAACCAAGAAGAGCAACTGTCAAACATCCATTTAAAATTCATGTCTGGAGTGCTTTTTGCGCAAAAGAAATAATCAAGTTTTATTCTTTCATTGAAAATATGGACAGAAAGTTTTATTGCAACATTCTAACCAAAGAATTATTTTCCAAAGCATAGCAGGTTATTGGCAAGACCTAAATGTTTCAGCAAAATAATGACCCGAAGCACCGGGCCAAGGATATAATCATCCTTCTTGAAGAAAACTGCCCTCATCTTCTCGATTGGCCATTCTACTCACCTGATCTTAATCCGATTGAGAACTTGTAGGCTATAATAAAAAAAAAAATCGAAAAACAAAACAACATCATGATATTTGAAAAAAAATTCATCACACAAAGTATTTTTATATCGATAATTGCATCAGAATAAAAAAAGATTAATAAAAATTTATGCCTTAGTTTGTCAAAATCGATGCCGGAGCGCATTAGGCTTGTATTGCAAGAAAACAGTAATACGATTAAATATTGACTCACTAATATACTTTGTAGTCCATGTTACAAACTATAATAAATATTAAGGTGTCAAAACATTTAAATCAAAATTAAAAAAATTATGTCATAAAAATAAATTATCAGTTTTTTTCACCAGTATTGTATATAAGAGTCTTTGCATATTTGCATAGAGCCTAAATTATTGAAAGACAAGGAAATAAATGGTTTCCCAGATTCAACATATAAAGAAAAGATTAGTAAAAGATAATTCAGAGCATTAAGAAAAAGAAGTTTCGAACTCTCAAGATTTGGTTAATCAAGATACTTCGAAGTTCTCCAGTTATTATATAATAAAAAAACCATTATAATTGTTGAGAATCAAAATTCAAAATTCTTATATAATACAAAAAATAAAACCTAAAACTTTCTATACAAAAGATTTCAATCAAGAAAGCAAGTCGGATCAATATGGAAAAATTTATACAAGAATTGTATTTAGAACCTGTCTCAGAGGAAACAATTGAATTTATTAATAGAAGTAAAGAGCAAGATACATCAATTCATTCTGAAAATGACAAGCACATAGCCATCAAATTAGCTTGTTTGTATCAAAATCAAAAAAGGCCAGAAAGAATACTGTACATGCTAAACAAGAAGGTATTTTAAGTTGGTATTATTATGTAAAAGATTTTTAAAAGAGATTGATAATATCTTATCTATTTGCCGAATAATAAGAGAGCAGATGACTCAAGTTTATAATGAAATTTGTGATTGTCTTTCTGGTATCTTACATTAAAATTTTTATAAATAGACTAAAAAGCTTATTTATAAATTATTGATGGCAAAACTCACTAACTTTCAAATTCAACATATCATAGATTATTTTGCTGATAAATCTTATTACAGTGAATTGTCAATGGCGTGACACTTACATAAGTAAAACTTCTGACTCAATTTATTTATCGGAAACTGAGTACATATATGTATGCCTACAAAATCCCAGATCACTAACTCTTTTAACTCAAAGTTTATTAGAGACTAAGGTAAGTGCATCACTGGAGAATAAGGTAATCAAATAAATGTATCACCATATCTCAAGTAAATACTGTACATCTGTAAACACATCATTCGCATCCCAATCCAAGAATCTGATCCAAGACTGTACTATTTTTTGCAATAAAGCATTGGAACAATATCCTGATCTATATTATAAATTCAGTTGATTATTACAAAATTATAGCCAAAACATTATGTAATTTATGCAAGTAAGACATGATTATAAGAAAGACATAGAAGGTAAATATGAAACAGTTAACATATACTTAATAATGTATTAAAAAATTCATTAATTGTATACAT